CAGCCAAATGCCGCCCCCCCCCCCCCCCCCAACCCCCCCGGCCCCCCCCCCCCCCTCTCTCAAAGCGGCCCCGCCGCTCTCCAGGGTGTGACAAACCTCATTAGGAAAAAGGGAAGAAAAAAAATACCCCCCCACCCCAAAAAAACTGGGGACGTCTTATGTTGTGGCTGCGTAAAACCCCCTTTTTTTTAACGCATTTTGTGGGCGAACGCCGCAAGCGCGAATGAAGTGAGGAGAGCATCCTTATCCGGAATTGCTTTGCAGTCGAGGGGAAGAATTTACGAGGGGCGATGAAAACGAGTGTCGTCTCAGGGATGATCAGACGCCGATCCCGTTAGCTGGGGGGGGTGGGGGGGGTTATTGCCTGTGCCAGAGGACTGTTATGCTCTATAATTGTGTTGTTATCCACCGGCGATCTATACTCGGATGCAACGTGACAGTTTTGAGCAGAAATATGGAGAAATAAAAAAGGAGGCTGCTTGTGATGGAGGGTGGGAGGCCTGGGATCTGTCAGGGTCGATCTCCATATTAAGGCTGCATGCATTAGGCTGCTGTCTGTCTGGGTTTGTTTTTGTTTAAACATTTTGGGTGTCTCTGGGAAGCATAAGGACACCTGAGGTTACGGCAAACATTTAGATTGTTGATTTGTGAACAAATGTAGTGTGATGGCCCGGCCAGTCTGGGACAGAGCGTGTTGTTTTCTGGTTGAAAGAGCACTTGACGGATAAAGGAGCATGCAGACGGACAGTGGGAAGTGGGAAGGGTCCCAGTGTCTGCACCCAGGGACGCCGGCAACTAAGCACCTCTCCACCTCCTCCTCCTTTTCCCCCCCTCCTCCTCCTCCTCCTCCTCCGCCCAAGCCTCCTCTTTTTTTTATCATCCGTTATTTGAACTGGGGACGGGCGGAATGGGATGGGCAGGCAGAGCAGACAACCGCCATGATGCCGGTTTTCCCTCTCCAGGTCACTGAGTTCATTTAGGCCTCAGCTCACCTGCAGACATGTCGTTGCCACAAATCTTGAGCTTTCTCGTGTGAATGAATATCTACTCGTATATTAAACAACTTCAAGGGGACACATAATCACCTGTACTGAGGCTACTCTCAACTGTAGGGTATCCCAAAACTAAGCTCAGAACCACTCCAGAGGACATTTTGCCTTCCAAGCACAAAATCAGGTGTGGTCATTGAGCCGGAGTCCCAAAATCAATTCCTTTGTGCAACACAGACAGCATGGACGTAAGGATTAGGTAACATTCAAATTCTGCTGTATTTTTCCCCATCCTTTGATCTCTATCACCATTGTTTCTGTGGACCATGCGCACCAAGTGTCTCGGACTCGTAATTCCTCCTGATTTATCGCCAAGTCCCATCAGTCTGTGCAGCTCACTTCCATTACTGGTGAAGATGACTGTTGCTCTTAAAGAGGGAGAGATGACATCAATCTCCCGGCAACAGCGTGCTGCATGCGGCTGAGCCGTTTGCCTCATGTAAATACTCCGATCAGGGATGGTTTGGGGCATTGCAGCACCATATCGATTCTTAGAAATGCTGATATATTCAATAGAAACTCAGTTAGCATTTAACCAAACGTCCAACTGACTGAGTACCCAAAGAAGACCTCTGCAACAAGCCGGTATTTCTGAAAACTGGTATTCTATTTGAGGCATATTCAGACCAGACTGCCATTGTATGATTTAGTTATTATGAAAAGCTGAAAAGCTTGGATTTCTCGACTTGTTTTAACATTTTATCGAGATGAATTTACAGCTCTTTGTTAGTAATCTCGCCACCATCTTCAAACTAATAACAACCTGTCATTCGACCTTCCCCAAAATATTTCTTTTTAAGAGCCAATTTAGATTTTTTGATAGCTTCACACTTTGGCGATTATATCATTGCCAAGTGGACTGTAAAGCTGCTGAACACATGCAAAAACCGTGAATTTGCGAGGCTACAGTACCCCAGAGGCCTGTTAGGCACCGGGCCACTTTTCGGTGGATGCCTTTAACCGGTAGTTTGCTGTTTCATTGTCGGTTTTTTTTTCAATTTTATTGCGGTACGGAAAATGAATGGACGGATCTGATTTCATTCTCCTGCTCAGAGTGACTATAAAACTGTGGCAGATGTTGCGTTTTTAAGGTGAGATGACGAGGGGAAAGTCGAGCAATAGCTAGAGGAACGTGAAGCAAAAATGAAGCACCAAATACAGGTCTGGTAGTTTGTGCTGACGCAGCAAAAAGCAGAGGGTACAGAGAACAAATATCAGGAAAACTAGGGAGGAGGAGAAGATGAAATTGAAGATTCTCTGCGTCAGATGAGATGGAAGACTGGGGGAGCTGGGGGAGAGATGCTCGGGGGGGACGAGTTCCAAGAGATACTGACGATATGTGCTTTTGGGCTGATGGATGGGAAGAGGAAGTGTGGTTTGACAGCCTTGTCTTTGGCCGAGACAGGACGAGAGGAGGAAGGATGCTGACCTGGCTGGTTTCAACCGGCCTGCCAGAGGGGGAGTGTGAGCATTGAGGTGGTGTCGGCTCTGTCTGGCATTATTATTTTGTCTCAGCTCAGCGTAGCACGAGGACTCAGCTTGGCTGACACTCAGCCACAACCTTTTCAAGCATGCCCAGTTTCCTACACTTCCTGCTGCGTTATGCCACTGTGGATCATTTGTCATTTTTGTGTCTCTGATCCACAGGGGAAACGGCGTGTTATTACAGTGGTTTCAAGGAGGGGGATGCGTGTTCTCTCATGAGAAATACACTTTTTGCCCAATGGTGGATCTCATCTATTTCTAATTATGGATAAATAAAAAAAATCTCTCTCTGGCTCTGAGTCAGAAAGCTGCTTCATTTTCTAGAAAGCAGTTACTGTTCGAGATAACCAAAAAATAGATAAATCAGCTCTGACACAATGATATTAGAAACGCCTCTTGAATTGAATTAAACTAGATTAGAGCTTCTTTCATTGATCTGTGTATACATCAGCATCTTTCCTTTTTTTCTCTCTGTATGGCAAAACTTACAGAAAATCAGGCTATCGGGTGACAAATGCTCAAGCGAGTCGGTGCTAAATTGTAACACAAATAAAGGATGTGAACTGATATCGAGGAAAGAAAGGACGATGGAGGTTCTAGCTCGAAACAATTCCACAGAAAAGACCCAAAGGAGTTCATGCAGATCTTCCCAATAAACGCTTAACCCACATTACAAGCTCCGCTGACTTGTAAACTGAGTCCTCAGCTGTTGTGTGTTTGAGGGAAAACGCTGCTGGGGCCTTGACATATATGCACCCTTTAATGAGCCAACGACAACCCTCCAAATGTGTCCTGCCCCCCACCTCCCCTCAGCAGAAATGGTGCAGTCTGCTAATTACATTTGAAGTGCGATCCACCTGAGGTGGCGGCTTCTAGTTGGCTGTCCTCGGGGCATCCGTGATGGCTGCTGCTCAGCGGGGAGTGGCTGTTTTTGCTCTCTAGGATTTTTATTCAAATCAAATAGGTTCTACTTTTTTTTATTTTCATTTCGCAGAGCTCACAAGCTAATCATTTTCTCTCCTTCCCCCCTGTATCAGCACTCCTCTTCATCCTTTCCTCCCATCCTCCAGCATATCTCAAATTTATTTCTCACTCCCCGCCACGCTCTCTCTCTCTCTCTCCCCCTCCCACCTCGTCCTGAGGGAAGGGGTTAACAAGGCCATCAGAGAGTAGCAAGAGCTACATCTGAAAGTTTATCGCATTACTTTGGCGTCTGTCAGTCTGCAGGGCAGAAAGCGAGACACAAAAAAGAACAGAGCTGTGAATAAGAGTGAGGAGGAGGATGAGGAGGAGGATTATTCATACTGTACACCATACCCCACCACGGAGAAGGTCCTTCACTGTAAATCTCATTTCTGGCTTTGCTACTTTCGAATCAAAGCGCCACGTTTAGGCCCCTCTAGCTCTAACTCTACCTTGTCATTATCTGTACCTTTGTCGGAACATAGCAGCCTTTTCGTGAAGGCAGGATGTTTCGCAACCCGCAGTGTGTTGCGGATATTTTTGTCCCTCTCCCTGCAGGGACCGCTGCTGAACTTGGACTCCATTCTTGGGGGAGTGAACAAAGTCACTCTTTGGGGCACTTTGTTCATCTCTCTTTGAGCAGACTGCCAGTTGCCAAATCCAGCTATTAAAAATTCATGCCGGCTTTGCGCCAATGGGTTTTCTTTCTTTTTTTTCCTTTTTTTTGGGGGAGTTTTTGGATGGTCCATGGAATGCAAAGTCACATAGCTGTGTTATGCTGATAAGCTAAACCCTTATCCTCCCCAAAAATCCTTATCCATAACCAGAGAATAAGATGATAAGAGAGGCCCACAGATTATCTGAAGATATATTTCTAGATCGGGGCATCTTTGCCCATCGAACAGCTCTGATGAATTAACCCTATCTCTGGTGTTTCGTTGAATTAGCCAAAGTGTGGTTTGGAGCCAAATGGGAGTTGGTCTGGAAACGTTAATGAATAATACATAAACGTAACATGCATTTGATGATGTGTGGAGAATCCTGTGGGGACGGCAACGTCTTGGCTGTTAGAAAAATTAGGCCAAGTAAGGACACATTCACCACGCTCCCCTCGCAGTGCCGTGAAAACAAACGGTCTGAGGAAGAGCAGAAAAAAGCAGAGAAGCTCAGCCGCAGCAGACATCCTTTGAAGATGAGCTTCTTTTTTTTTTCTCTTTCGGAGGGTTTGATGCATAATTACTCCTAGAAAAAGATGTTTACATGAAAGACCTCCTGTGGAGGCAAAAGTAGGTTAATTATGTTAAATCTATCCCTGTTACCGGGTTGATATTTTGTCTTTGTTCACGAGCGAGCAGTGAAGTCATATTCTGAATTACCTCCGCAGCGTACAAAGAGAAGATGAAGGAGATTTCTGTTCTCTCACTCATCTGCTCTTGTCTGTACCCCGAGACCCGCAAAAACATCATGGGTGACTTTGAAGGTAGGTGGTAACCCGCATGATCTTTTTATAGACCCAAACCGAATTGAGATTCAGACAGCCGAGTGTGCGTCTTTTTCCTTTTTGATTAAATCACAAACAGATATGGACATCAAACCCATTAACAAGCGCGCCTCGGGCCAAGCCTTTGAGGTCATCCTTAAGCCGCCCTCCCCTGTGACTGATGTGGCCCACTGCATCACCAACCCCCCAAAGAGGGACATCTCCCTGGAGGACATCCAGAAGAAGCTGGAGGCGGCTGAGGACCGCAGGAGAGTAAGGATGTTTCCTAAAACCCAACTGCAAAAAGCTGCAACGTATCGTTTTGCCTTAACAAAACCTTCATGGGTTTATTTGTTTTAAAATAGATTTTTAAAATCATGACTGGCCAAGTTTACATAATATTGCTCATATAATGACTTGACTCCTTCACCCATCTAATTTTACATCATCAAGTGATTCATGCGAGGTCCTGACATTACCATGCAAAATTGAATATGTTATCAGCAAATTCCAGCAAAATGTCGGTACAGTCAGCTTACCAAGAAATCAGTCAAGCAATTATTGATAAATCGACAAAAAATGAAGTCATTAAATACAATTTCTCGTATCAGACATTTTCTTGTATCAGTTTTAGGCATTTAATATAAGCATAAGACTGATTACTCCAATTTAGCCTTATTATTAAATCTTTAGAAGCATTTATAAAAAGGTATATATTGAATTACAATATTGATATCAGCCTCTCTTTTCCCTGAGTCATCATCTCTAACGTTTCTCTCTCCTCCAGTGCCAGGAGGCGCAGATCCTTCGTATCCTGGCTGAGAAGCGAGAGCACGAGCGCGAGGTGCTGCTGAAAGCCATGGAGGAGAACAGCAACTTCAGCCGCATGGCTGAGGAGAAGCTCCATCTGAAGATGGAGCAGATCCAGGAGAATCGGCAGGCCTACCTGGCCGCCATGATGGAGCGCCTACAAGATAGGGTGAGGGGGAGTACAAAACAAATGCATGACTCTTTTCAAGAGTCTGGCACCCAGATGCTGAGTGGTTGTAAAAAAAATCTGGTTTCAGATATTTTTTCAAAAGCAAAGAGCAAGCTACTTAGGAAGCAGGCAGACAAGCGACAAAGGCAACTAAGTAGGAGGTGAAATGGCCTAAACCGGGGAAGTACAGTGTTGGGGAAAGTACCTCTGGAAATAGCCAACTATTTATTTAAGGTTTTTGTAATACAAAAGTTTTTTGTAGTTTTGAATTTCCTTCTTTTAGGAACCTCAGTAACCAGTAATGAGCTGAAGCCCTGCATTATGTTTTCAGGCAGGGAGGATGAAGAGACCTCTTCTTCTAAATGCTACTTAGAAAAAATAGATAAAATGCCACTTGGAACCAAGTGGGCTAAACGCTTGATCTTTTTACTGCTCCATCAAAGGGCTATTATACTAAGTTACTGCATTGATAACAGTGATGAATATATATATTTAAGGAAAAAGAAACAATACAGATAGAACATAAAATAGGTAGGACATTTTCTGGTCACAAATGATGAGTGTAGGCCTCTGCAAACCATAATTATCAAGAGCTGTATGTCATAAAGAAAATAAAAGTTAGCTTTTTACTCCGTGTTAGCAAGCTAACTTTAGACTATTCATTAAACAGTTTTTTTTACAAAAGTTATACATTTATTTAAGCATACAGAAATCACCTAGTAGATGTGGTTTAGGGAATTATAACAACACCTTATACAAATCTTTGCTTAGATTTAAATAACACCTTCCTTGTGCATCTGTAAACTGTAAAAAATGTGCCAGATGGGGCCATGGAGTATTTTTTACATGTGGGATTAAGGTAAATCTCTGTGCCAGGTGGATAACAAGAAAAGGTGAAAAGAAATAGAACAAGGGAGAGACAGGAGTCGGTTCATCTGCCCAACAGATGGCGCAACTTCTCCAGAGAGAGCCAAAAATAGGGGAAGATGTGTGCCAGTGCCCGTCAGTTAACATTGTAATGGCGAACAAGATGAATTGATGTGAGAAATGAATGTCAGGACGGGGCTGACAGCAAAGGACTAGTCCTCGTCGTAACCATATATTTTTTTTTTGCATTTCTAGGAGAGGCACGCTCAGGAGGTGCGCAGGAACAAGGAGATGAGAGAAGAGTTGTTGCCATGAGAAAATCCAGTAGGCTCCGCATCCCACCTTCACACCCCACACCACCACCCCAGGCCCTGAGGAACACCTCCCCATCCCCCAAGTCCCCACCTCTCCACCCCTTCCCCTGTCATCCTCCCCTATTAATTACGATGAAACTACCACGATGCGCCACCCCGATACAGCGGGAGGTCGAAATGGGGGTTGGGGGTGGAAAATGATACAAAAATTCAGAAAAGAGAAGAAAAAAAAAGGTCAAATTACTGTAATGTCTCCTGCCAATTCCTTCCAAAAAGAATGTTTTTGCTCAAATAAGAAGCAAAAGAAAAATCTAATTGACAAGCGACAGTGGGTTTTTGTAAATACTTGTTTTTTTGTTATATACAGTGCGATACAAGCAGCAAAAGTATTGATTGCAGTGTGCCATTTTTATATATAGGTTTCCTTCCCTGCATATATATATATGGATGTAATTATCTGTTCATTTTTCATATTTTCGTTGATTTCAGCCTGAGAATGTTTTCATATTTTAGGTTCCTCTTGTGTGTAACAGGCTTAGGTGTTTGTTGTGAGTTCGCCAGCTAGCTGATGTTTTTGCCGTGACTGCTTTGTGTCTTCACAAAGTCCGCATGCTGGCCCCCTGCCCTCTCGTCCCCTCGAGTGGGCGCTTACTCATCAGACCCACCAGATCAGGAGGCAAAATTGGATCTCCGTTTTGGTCCGAGTGATTTTCCATCCAGTTATTGCCAACGTTCCAATTAGTGAGGGACACATGCAGGACAGTTGCCAAAGGAAAGTAGCGGGTGGGTGGGCGGGTGGGGGGGGGGGTTAGTTTGCTTGCTTCTGTGGGGACTCCAAGTCGTTGCTGCAAATCCACTCCTGTGAAGTAGGTAGTGACTGTAATGCAGGAGGACACTATAGCATTTATTGAGCCCATCCTCATCCTCCCTCAGTCTCCATCTTCCCACATACTTGTATGCTGTTTAAAACACTCACTCACACACTCTCCACATAGGCAACCACAGCACAGAGCTCGGCGGGAGCTCACCGAATACCGTTCCGCGACCAGTAGACTCATGAAACAACCCCTAAACAAACGGCCTCCGAAAAGATCCTCCGTTCACAGTCGAGTCGCTTGTTTCTCTCTCTTACAACACCACAAAATTAAAGAATGCTGGAGTGTTAAAACAAAAAAAAGAAATCATGCTACTGTGAATCCACACCGGAGAAAATAAACTAAATTCGTCCCGGCTTTCTCCATTTCATAAAAAGCTAGGATAGTTCTTTACATCATCTACGGGAATCATCGCACTTCACCCCAAGACGCTGTATATTCCACTTCAAGGCCGGCACAAGGAGGAGGTTTAAGCCATATAATAGGCATCACTGCAACAATGATTCATGAACACAATATTTCCATCTGCAAAGGCGTTTGCGAGCGTATTCAAAGGGTGCAAACCGTTCGGAACGAGGGTTGTGGAAAGCCTGAGGTTGGACGCTGTTGGTCACGCATGCACAGTTGGCCCATAGATGTGTGTGAGGGATCGTGTGAGTGTATTTCAGAAAGGGCGAGTAGTGTTTGTGCCATGTGATATTGATCCGGTTAGATATAAGCAAACATTGCAGTGCGTATCAGTTGTCAGGAAGTTTGACGCAGACAGGGAGTATCCTATTTTTCTCCCTGTCTCTCTTTCCTTCCTCTGTCCATTTGTGTGTTTCCCTCTCTCCACATATATCTTTGTGAGCAAGCAGTGGTTAATAAAGATTTGAGGTTCAGTGAATGAAACTTGTTTTGGGAGTGGTTCCTTTTTAGAAATCAAAAGTATTTACATTTCCTGTGTGATGTTGGGATCATTCCCTTAAACTTAACGTCTCAAATTAAAACTACATGAAGCCAATAGATTTCTGTTGGCGTTACTTCACTGTTTGTCATGTTTTAAGTGACATGAGCACAATAAAAAAGAATATTAATATGGTTTTCATTTGGTACAACGCTATGGCCATGACATTCACCCCCTAGCATAACATAGCAGAACATTTACAATTACATTTAGACATAAACACATTTGGACATAAGAATTTATCAAATGCTTATGTCCAAATAAAGTAAGTTTTATGTTGCAATTTACAACAAACAAAAATAATATCAAGCGTCTTCCAGCATTTTAACACAACGTCCACCCCTGCTGTGTGTCAGAACCAGAAGCTTCCAGATTTCACTGGAACATCCATGACTGAACATCCATTTCTGACCAGCAGGGGGAGACAAACTACAGGTTTTGTTTACCCCCCAAAAAATATTGACCTTCCAGTTTGGCAGCAGTTTGGCTGACATCACTACCTGACCCAGTATGAGGGACAGTAACAGAGAAAGAGATTCAGCTATAACAATGACGGATTTCAAAGGTGAAAGACATCACGCATATGAGGAAGAAATCCAAGAGGGATGTGTTATCGAAATGACACGTAAGAAGCTCGTGGTCAGGCAGGAGACGGGAGGCTGGTGCTGAGAACAGAAGGTGCAGCTGGTGCGAGCTGAAACGATGGCAAAGAGACAAAACCGGTCGCTGTGGACTTCCTTTCTCACAGTTTCCCCGTCCCTCTCTCCTCCTCCTCCCTCGCTTTGATTCCTTTCTTCCCTCTTTCATTCCATCACCTACTCTCGGCTCCATCCCTCCTTCCTCTCTCCTCCTTCATCCCATTCCAGCCTTCCCTCCCTCTCTCCTGGTTCCCTCCTCCAGTTCCCACGCAGCGCATGGGGCCAGGCGGACCGCTATTGTCCAGGATATCCCCTCCTTGTTAATGGTTTCCTGTGCACACACAGAGGGCTGCTGAGAGAAACAAGAAGCCTCATCTGATACCGGCCGCCGATATGTACAACACACACACACACGCTCACACGTACACACAGGAAAACAACCCCAGGCATCAACAAGCGAGCAGGCGTACCACACCACGCACACTCGTAGACACTTGAACAAAAAAAAGACAATTGAACACAAAAAAAGTGATATAACTTTGAGTAATTTAGCAGAAACTTCTTTATTACAGGGAAGTTGTCATGACCACCAGCAACATCTGCGAAAAACACCTGAAAATCTTGACTCGTGAGAGCTTGTCTATGCTTTGTACAACCGTAAAATGTAGCTAGAAACTCACAATGGAGTTTGGTGATACCAAAATGCCAGTTGGAAACACACCAGTGGTCTCTGGATATTACTTTGAGGATGGTGTTGCATATATATATATTTTTTCGAACTGGAACTGATTCGACTGGGTGATGACTGTCATCCAAAAGTGGTTTCTGGATATAACTTTGAGGATGGTTTTGCATATATATATATATTTTCGAGCTGGAACTAATTCGACTGGGTGATGACTGTCATCCAAAACTGCTGTGCTGAACAGATACATGACAATAACATGGAAACATCGTGATAAGAACCCACCTAACGTCATTTACATTGAATAAAACTGGTAAAACATACGTGAGGTGTTGAAAGACAGATCGCACTGTGGAGGACGCCTAATTTCGGGAAGAAAGCTTTTAAACAATGGAGCGCCGTACGATTAGCTCCACCGAGCTGGCAGCTGACTTCTGTTCCCAGTATTTAGTCAAACAAACACCTGGTTTCAGTTATTCCACCCCATAAAATGTTGTAAAAGAGGGTGACTTCAAACCCCCTCCCCTCCTCGCTGTAACCAGGGCACCAACACTTGGTGGTGCGGCTCAGAAAAACAAAGGGTGGGGTGGGGTGGTGGTGGGGAAGGGGGGGGGGGGGCACTTTGGCCCAGGAACTTGCTTGACCATCTGGAAAAGCCATTCCTGATAGGCTGTCTACTACAGTGAGTGAAACTTCTAAAGGGGGTGGGTCGAAACAGAGATCAATCAACACATTAAATCACTTCTGTTGCTTTTTAGTTGTGGTCTCCCTCTTCTTTAAGTATGTGTATGTGTGTGTGTATGTGTGTGTGTGTGTGTGTGTGTGTGTGTGTGTGT